GTATACTAAATATGCATGTGCATGCGGCTAATAAAGATATTGTATGGCCAGCACAATGCAACTGTCTGCCGGGCATTGTTTGTCTGACAGTCCGCCTGACAGTCCGTCTGACAGTCCGTCTGACAGTTTTTGTCTGTCCATCAGAAACAAACATATCACAGCCAAAAAGGCAGGCCGACATTGTCAAGGCTGGCTTCTGTCCAAAGCTTGCAGTTTAACGATAAATAAATTGCACAAAGACAACAACAAAAAAAGGAACTATACATATATGCTCTAGTTGCAGTTGCTTGACTAACAGATACCCTGTAGCCAGCGATGAGCTGCCTTGACAAATGCTCACAAATAGATAACTGGTGGGCTGGCTTAATGTCAGGGCTTCAAATATTGGATTACTTTAAGCCTCAATTGGCGCCTCCTTGGAACCAGGGGAGAGACCTCCCCAAAACATTCTCCTTTTTTTGAGTCAAAAAGCCAAAAGGAAGCAAGTTCCTAGCTCCTATTGACGCTCTGGTCGGGCCTCGTAGCAGCAGGAGTATTCCCGGACAGACAGGCAATAAGAGCTAGATCGACTCGGCTGTTGCTGCTGATCAGGAATATATATATACATTTAATGGAAGAGCCTGCCTACTTTTTGTATCCTTTTTAACCCGTTTACAATGGGCTTAGGGTATAAAGAGGCAAGCAGCAGCAACTGTTGCCAGCTAACATGTTGCATAAACATGCCGCAGCAACACTTGTTGCTGCCACAACAGCACACACACACACACACACGCACACACACACACACCGCTGCACGGCAAGACGCGGAGGCTGTGTTGGCCTGCCGCCTGCCTATTATCCTGAACAAAGGACACCGTCGGCTGTCGGCGGTCGGCCGTCGGTTGTACGTTGTCGGCCGTCGTCTAACGGTATATAAAACCGGATGTTTCGCCAAACATTTGCACAGAAGTGTTTCACATTGCCACGGTCAACAAGTGTCCTGTCCAAAAAAAAAAGGGAAGCAAGAAGAAACACACGGTACAGGAAAAAATCCAGTGAAAAGTGTTCTAAAATTTTCCGCCAACGGAATGTCGATTTGATTGCATTGCAATTTTCGTATAATTTTAAATATTGAAAAAGGTGAGTTTTTTACAAATATTTTTAAGTCCAAAGCAAAGTGATTTCAGTGAAATAATAAAGCTTAACTAATTGCTGGAAGAAAGCTTAAATAGTTTGAAAGGCTTTCAGGCTTGGAAAATAAGTTTAAATATAGATTAAAGCAGGTGGGATTAGTTATTTGTGATGTGGATTTAATGTTAAAAAAGAGTTTGGAAACTTTGCAATACTGGTTCAGTTTTTTAAAGCAACTAAAAAGCCTCGCGCTTGCACAGAAAACTTGGTTTAGGCACGAACTTGGGTTGAAAAGTAAGAGATTATAATGTTTTTAAATTTTAAAAAGTTTTTTGGAAATCTGGCTAAATATATTTTTTTTATAATAGCAACATTTGTTTGTTTAAATAAACATGTTATTCAAACCAGAAACTTTGACATTTTTTTAGAATCTTTAAAAAATGTAGTTTTAATTTTCGATATTCAAATCCGCATTGAATTCATATTTTTCAATCATTTATACAGTTTAATAATAGCTAAGCAAAGAATTAAATACAATTTGAACAGTTTCGTGCAAACCGTACCTAGGCAAGAGACCAAATGGGAACACTTTGCACTTCTGTTCCCTGCTTAATTTTGCTTACTCAAATACTTGTTGACTATAAAGAGCATATGTTTTCTGGAATGTTACATTTTACAAGTACTTGGAATTGTTTTTATAAAATATCAAATTTCATTTCTCATCAAGAATTGGTCACAGTTTAGGGCAAAGGCAACGACCCCAGCACGTGTGCATGTACTAGACAAATACAGGTGAAATGTCAGGTGGAATATAGTAGTTGCCACACGCAGACACACACACACAAACACATACGGTCATTTTGGGCTAATGAAAGCAAATTGAAATATTTACGGCTGCACTTCGGAGAGAAGCGAGCGCAACAAAGCGTCGCTAGATTTCCATTTGCCAGCGCAGTTGTTTCGCAGCATTTCCGGGAAAATGTTAAAGTTGCATGCCCCTTTGGCCAGGTGGCACCTGCAGCCAGGCAGCTCAAGCACTAGTAAAGCGAAGCGTGTACAAATTTTTGATTTATCACTGACAAGAGACATAACCATACGCATAGTTCTATGCCCAGGACAGGGCTTAGATTTAACCGAGCGGGGCAAATCTCACAATCATTTGTCTTTCGGGCGGGCGCTGAGTTGTTGAGCTGCCTGCTGATAAATTATATATACTTTTAAATATAACACATGCACACAGATTGCCACGACCAAGGCACATCAAATGTATCGCATTGCGTCAGGTATGAAAATCTGATTAAGCGTTCGCCTTCAACGTCAAAAGGCGTCCCCAAAATATACTCAGTGTCGGCTTTCATATTGACAGCTAAACGAATTAACGAGCGTGTTATTGATACTGAATCCAGCAGGCAGACAACGCGGCGTATGCGTAATGTGGCACCATATAAATAATATAACTAAGCACAGCCTACAACAATTTTGGGGGGAAGTTGCCAAACGATTCGTTCGATTGACACTCGGCGAAGTGCTTGCAACATGTGGCATTAAGTGCTCAACAACATAATACGTTCGAGCAAACTTAACATAAATGCCAAGACACTTTTGACAAGTGCACAAATTTGCTGCCATGTTGCAAGCAGCACTCTTTAAGGCAAACACTGCGGCCACTGAGGCAGCATCAAGGGGCACAGTTGCAGTTGCCGCTGGGCCTGCGACCTGTCCGCGCTGTGTACACATGCCATTTGTCACCTGTTGGCCAAAGAAATATATATGAATTGCCTTTGATTGCGCTAACAAAACAAGCAGCAACTGCAACAGCAACAACAACAATACTTTTAATAATTTCGTGTTGCTTTTTTTATTTGTACAAAAGTTTGTGTAATTTTACATTAATGTGGAGTACATCAAATGTATGTTAATGTGCAGCAGTCGCCAGCTCATCAGCTAGGGTCAAGTTGTTATTGTTGTTGTTGCTGTTGCTGTTGCTGTTGTTGTTGTTGTTGTTGTGCGTCTGCGTGGCTGTCTACGCCGCAGACTGGTCAAGTTTTTTAACAGTTTTTTAGCTGGCCTACTCGCACTGCTGCGTCAATTTTGAATTGAGCGATAAGTTGGCCAACTTTGCGTAGATTAATGTCAAGTTAAACATGCACAGCGCAGTTTTAGTTATGAACGGTTTTCGTTATCTACTATATAAGCAGACTATTTTCAGGGTTTTTCTTGGCTGGCAAAGCGGAAAAGAATCGTGCAAAATGCCAACAAAAAAAACTGCTTACTCATCTATTTGATATAGCCTACTATATAGCTACTATATAGCGTATTTCGAGAGCAAATTTGAGGCGCATTTCGCCTAGAAAGTAGCCACAGTGAAAACTCTCTTGACCATCGTGTTAAGTTTGTACGCCTAGAAATAGGGAAATGGGCGTGGCTTGTCCATCCAGAAGCTCTTTCCCCTAATAGTAGCAGCTTTTGGTAAAGTATTCACTGTACATATTATATTCTTGCTCAACATGAACAGTTGCCTTTATATAGAGTATCTGTCAGTCTGCCTGTCCAAGCGCAAGGATCTTGTCAGGACACACAATTTTAAGCTCGACTGAGGGTTACTAATTTTTAGTATTTGGCCTAAAATTTCTACTAGTCTTGGCCCAAAATCCCAAATCGGGCCATAACTTGACCATTTCAAGGACTAACGAGAGATCCTTTGGCCAAGTGCTTCCCCTAATGTTGACGAATTTGCCATAAAAAGAACGAAAGAACTAATCAAACAGCTGAAAAACCTTTCAGAGTACAAAAACTTGCTGATAACTCGGGCACATCCTTGCGCATCCCGACGAGTCCTGTGGCAAATAATGCTTTAGAATCAGGACCAGCAACCGGCCAAAGGAAATTGTTAGCGTCTGATCAGTTTTCGAGATATTCGAGATTTTATGTTTTTTCTGTCTGTTGGGTTCTTAGATAATCCTCATAAACTCGAATGTCCATAGAACGAATTACTCCCTGAGCTCCTGACGCACCAAATACTTTATGCTTTACTTAACTTTTAAAAGGTTTTGCTAATCAGCTTACATTAAATGGGGAGTTCGTAGAACTGCAGCACTTAAGAGCTCTAAAATTTTGTTTCTAATTGATTATAATACAAATTTTCATGGAAATTTGTAAGTTCTTCGCACTTATAAGAAAAAAACTTTTCTATAATTCGCAATTTGCAATATTTGCAACTTTTTAAGTAATCGCAAAGCTTACGTTTACTTACTCACCTAATCCTGATGCAACGTGTGCTCATCTTTGTCAGCTTGTTGCCAATTTGGAGGCCTTCCACATCCGAAAGCCATAATCATTTGCATCTCTAATGGCCTGCTCTGACGGAGTGCGGACGTTCATACATCAGGCCAACCCCTGCTCCTGCTCTTGGTGTAGACCATCAGCTTAGCGCCTTTAACAAGTTGTATTAAGGTTGTTGATGGTCGTGTGTGTGTGTGTGTGTGTGTGTGACGGAGGGCAACTCATGTTGCTGTTGTTGCTGCTGTTGCCTTTAATGCGCTTGGTTAACTTTTTACGCGCACATTCATATTTCGCTCTTGGCCAGGCGGATTATCGCATAAATATTGTTATGGTTAATTAGCGGGACACTTTGTCTGGCCGGGCAAACAAAAGGCGTTAAGACGCTGCCACCGGAGTAGCTGCTGCTGGTGCTGCCTGCTTTTTGCCCATGTTGTTGTCGTTGTTGCTGCCAGCTAAGTAAAATGAATGCGTTCATTGCTTTGGCCACGAGGGCGTTAATGTGATTAAAACTTGTAATAGATAATGCGCCAAGTGATTTAGTGAACACCTCATAATTATGTTCTCTCCCTCTCTCTCTCTCTCTCTCTTTTTCTCTCTCTCGCAGCACCTTCAATCATGGGCATAGCACTGATGTTCCTGCTGGCTCTCTACCAGATGCAATCGGCCATCCACAGCGAGATTATCGAGACGCCATCCAGCTACAATGAGAACTTGCTGCTGGAAGCTGCGGAGGAGCCCAATTCGAGAGCCGCCACGGCTGAGTCGGATCTGCTGGATGGACTGATGAGTACCGATCCCAATCCCAATGCCGAGCAGCAAACCGAACTGGAGTTCCGCTATCCGATCTCGGCCATTGGCATAGACTATGCCAAGAATTCGGTGGTGTTGCGCTTCCAGAAGCAAGCGCGCAAACAGAACTTCAAGTACGATCCGGACTACGAGATGAAGCGCAAGTCTCTGCAGGACAATTTCATGCACTTTGGCAAGCGGCAGGCGGAGCAGCTGCCTCAGGCAACCGGACCCGGCTACTATGAGGCGGTCAAGCGCGCCGCCATGGATCGCTATGGACGCGATCCCAAGCAGGATTTCATGCGTTTCGGGCGTGCCCCTTCGGACTTTATGCGCTTCGGGCGTGCACCCTCGGACTTTATGCGGTTTGGACGCGATCCCAGCCAGGATTTCATGCGCTTCGGGCGCTCCGATAACTTTATGCGCTTTGGCAGGAACCTGAACTTCCACGAGGAGCTGCGCAGTCCCAAGCAGGATTTCATGCGTTTCGGTCGCCCGGACAATTTCATGCGCTTCGGCCGCTCCGCGCCCACAGAATTTGAGCGTAATGGCAAAATGGACTCGAATTTCATGCGCTTTGGCAAGAGATCAGGTGGACCAGCCAAATTGACCAAAGCCCAGCTGCAGCTAAACAAATTGACAACTGCCGATGGCAAGCAGCAGCCAGCCGACGAGAGCAATCCCACGGACAAGGCCATCTCGATGCTATTCAACAAGCACCAGCAGCAAGAGCAGCAGCATGAGGGGCAGCAGCAGCAGGGCGGGCAGAGGCAGCCACAGGAGGAGCGGCAGCAGCTGAAGAGCAGCGCAGAGCAGAACAACTTGGACGAAGCCAGCGTGGAGCAGTTCTATGAGCCATAGATTCGCCCGCGCACATCACACTGTAAATATAAATTGGCCAAAATTGAACACTATGATAATTGTACTTAAAACTATATATGTACTTAAACGCATTATAGATATTGCAGAAGAAATTTAAAAACAAAAAAAAAGACAACTGTAATTTGAATTTTTAATGGGGCTGGATTAAAAATTCACCACGCTTTGATCTGATCATAAGAAAAACCAAAAAAAAATAAAATTTAGAAAACTCTAACCAAAGGTCATACACATACACGCACACATACACCAAAGCACATACTTAAGTGTAATATCGCATTCAAAATAAATTCAAAATATTAAATGTACTTCCCTAAATGCATTGAAATGTTGTGAACAATCTTTTAAATAAAGACTACTCGCTAACTATTGTTGGGTTTATCGTTTTGCGTTGTTTCGAATTTAAATTTAAGCTGGCATTGCCATTGACCTTAACAATTCAAATTTAAACTAAGCGATTTGTAGCTGGCGCCATCTGTTGTGCGGTGGCCAATACGGCAAACACTGCTGCGTGCAACAATTGTTTTTGTCGCGCACCAGCTGCTCGCGATGTGGCAACGCTGCATCAACAAGTTTTAGCTGGAGATGAGCTCGTGCCGGATTTTGCCAACACGGTGCAACATTGAATGTATGTTTCATGTGAATATGCAACATAGTCAATTATTTGGGAAGTATACATATAAATTTGTCATGATATCATTGGATGAATCTAGATAGATATATTTACTTTATATAAAGCAAAGTGGTTTGGCACAGCCGGTAAATACGCCGTCCGTTCGTGCCCAATCACGACACGCGCTCACCTCTAGCTAAAACAGCTGAATGTTGCGGTTGGCTTCTGTTTGCGCTGCCTCTGAACCTCGCGTTTGTTTTATTCCGTATTCAATTTGCAGAGGCCTTATTACCACAACGAAATCTCAACTGTGAGGAACAAATCAAGATCTTTGGACAAAATATAACGTATTTATATACATTAATTGAACTGTAGCCGCCGCATCAGTCAGCAAGTCTAAAGTCCAACTTGTTGCTTTGTTGGCGGCGGCGGCATTTATTGTTTTTGTTTCCTATCTACATAACAATATAAATAAATAAAATTCCCTTTGTGCATTATAGATTTTTCAATTAAACTTTGCTGGCCATAAAAGCGATTATGTCGGCCCTGCTGAAAATCCACAGAGGTGAGTTTCAACCAAAAACCTGTCAACCGATCTCAAAAGACAACAACAAACAATTCGGAGATTACATAATGAAAATGATTGAGATGCGAGACAAAAGACATTAATTAAATATAGGCGCAGTGATAAAGCACTTGGTCAATTTATATAATATTAGCTGGTCATCGAGTTGTAAAGTCCTCAGACCGTTCCTGCTTTTGTTCTTGTTGTGCTTCTTATCAGAGCTCTTATCAGCTTATGCAGCTTGAGTTTGATTAACTGTCGCATAATTTCTTAACTACGCCCAGTTCACAAGCTCTTTACGCCCGCCTTTGTGCGCAGCGTTTCGGAGGCAGCGAAATATCCAAAGATTACCACGCACTACACTCTGAATCCGCGCGAAAAGGACGAGAGATGGAAGGATGTGGACATGGAGCGTTGCGTCGAGGAAGTGGACATCGTCATCGTGGGCGGTGGACCAGCCGGCATGTCGGCTGCCATACGTGCGAAGCAGCTGGCTGCTGAAAAGAATCAGGTGAGCGAAGAATTCGCAGCTGTGCGAACCATACGATTCTTAATTTCTTCTTCTTGTTCGGCAGGAGGTACGCGTGTGCGTTGTGGAAAAAGCCGCTGAGGCGGGCGGTCACATACTTTCCGGCGCTGTCATCGATCCGATCTCGTTGAATGAGCTCATACCCGACTGGCAGGAGCAGGGCGCGCCATTGAACACGCCTGTCACCAAGGACACATTCTCTTTCCTCACTGAAACGGGTCGCTTTTCGATACCCGTTTTCAAGGGCTGGCCCATGGACAATCATGGCAATTATGTTGTGCGGCTGGGTCACTTGGTCAAATGGCTGGGCGACCAGGCGGAGGCTTTGGGCGTTGAGATTTATCCCGGCTGCGCTGCCTCTGAGGTGCTGTTCCATGAGGATGGCAGCGTGAAAGGCATTGCCACGAATGATGTGGGCATTGCCAAGAGCGGAGCGCCAAAGGAAACCTTTGCACGTGGCATGGAACTGCACGCGAAGACTACAATCTTTGCCGAGGGCTGTCGTGGCCATCTATCCAAGCAGATTATGCAACAGTTTGGACTTAATGTGGGCAGCGAGCCGCAAACATACGGCATTGGACTGAAGGAGGTGTGGGAGATCGCTCCCGAGCTGCATCAGTGAGTCTTCAACAAATAGCACACAAAATGAACAATTGACGTAACCCCAATCGTACCCTCAGACCTGGTCTAGTGGAGCACTCAATTGGCTGGCCCCTGGATCGCTTTACCTATGGTGGCTCTTTTCTGTACCATCTGAACGAACCCACGCCCACCATCGCAGTTGGGTTTGTTGTTGGTTTGAATTACAAGAACCCGTGGATCAGTCCCTTCCAGGAGTTCCAGCGCTTTAAGACGCATCCCAAAGTGCGCCATGTATTCGAGGGCGCCACTCGCATTGGCTATGGTGCACGTGCCATTAACGAGGGCGGTTTCCAGAGTTTGCCCAAGAAGCTGTCCTTCCCAGGCGGCTGTTTGGTGGGCTGCAGTGCGGGCTTCCTTAACGTGCCACGCATCAAAGGCTCACACTATGCCATGAAGAGCGGCATGCTGGCTGCTGAGAGCGCACTGGAGGCTATCAATGAGGGCACGCAGACAACAGCTGGCGTGGAGCCCATCAGCTATGCGGACAAGTGAGTTAGCAATATCTAACTTTATAGCTTACCTGAATTCGAATATATTTCCTATTATAGAATTAAGGAATCGTTTGTTTGGAAGGATTTGTACAAGGTGCGCAATGTGCATCCGTCCTTCCACAACCCCTTGGGTCTCTATGGCGGCCTTGTGTTGAGTGGTTTCTCCATCTTTATGGGCGGTCGCGAGCCCTGGACGTTGACTCATGGCCCGCAGGATCACGAAACGCTGCAGCCCGCCAATGTTAGCCAGCGCATTGTTTACCCCAAGCCAGATGGTAAAATCACCTTTGATTTGCTCTCTTCGGTGGCGCTGACCGGCACCAATCACGAGGGTGATCAGCCAGCACATTTGACGCTCAAGGACGATCGCATACCCGTCGATCACAATCTGGCCCTCTACGAGGGACCCGAACAGCGTTTCTGCCCCGCAGGCGTTTACGAGTATGTGCCCAACGAGGAGGGCGGCAATATGAGGCTGCAAATCAATGCACAAAACTGCATACACTGCAAAACCTGTGATATCAAGGATCCCAAGCAGAATATCAATTGGGTGGTGCCCGAGGGTGGCGGCGGACCCGCCTACAATGGCATGTAATCCCATCTATCTGTAAAGAGAGAGAAGCGTAGCAATTTTATAAGTTGTACCACAATTGCATTTGACTAGTTTGTAATTCATATAAAAACAAAAGATACTAAATTCAAAATTGCTCGGAAATTATTTTTAAAAATATGTAATTAATTGCGTAAGTTCAAAGAGAAAGTTTGCAATAAATGAAGTGTGAAAAAGTTAGTGAAATTCAGTTGCCAAAAAGGTTTTTTTTTATTTAAAAGTTTCTACTTTTGTTTAAAACATCAACTTAATAGGTAAATGTTTATTCCACAATCAATTTTTCAAAACCTTTCATATATTCAGTGCACGGATAAAACTTGTTTACATAGTATAATATATATATATATCATTATTATTTTTCATTGAATTTATCATTAGTTAGTTTATCATTGATGTTTTTCACCAAAATGGTAACTTAATTTTTTGTTCTTTTTGCCTAAACGTAATTACACTTACGAATCAGTTGTAAGTTATTTGAACAGAAATACATCGATGGTTATTATATATATGTATATATATATATATATATATATTATGTAATATCGATTTGGAGCGCATTTACATAGATAACTTAACTACATGCATATCACTTAATTTGTATAATTTAAACATATTCATTTCGCCTTATTTTTTTTGTTGTTTTTCTAATTTGTTTTAAGACAGCGCTCTAAAGGTTTTATAAACTTTTAAACGCTTTTTTCTGGTACCCAATCATAGCTTAATTTCTTGTTTAAACTTTATCTAATTGAATCTGTACGTATAATTTCATAGTTTGTGCTTTTGCGGGCTCTTCAATGATTGATTATCTGGACAACGAATTGCAACGAATGGAACCACGATATATATTTCATTGTTAACACAAATACTTAGACGAGAGGTGTCTGTCACATCGAAACTAACATATAACATTAACAACATTGAATATTATGATAATAAGAACACAAGTGACAACAAATTATAGTATCTATATTTCATCTAGCATAGTTGTGATTCATAAATTGACTCAATTGAATCGATAAAGTGCAGGTGCGCAATGTTTTCTCTGTAAATGGGTATATTGAATGCATAAAGTCTTTTGCCGTTTAACACGCATTTGCTTAAATTTCTACTAGAGTTTTTTTATGATCTGTATTCAGGTGCCACATAAATTCCCACACAACAGTGCATACTTTTAACATTCTATACTAAATACATCTATCTCGAGAACCAGTTTACACAGATGCTGCCTTTCACAAATATATCATTCCATTTTATTTATTTATTCTTCCTTTTGTTATGTTGTGGTCCCTGTGACCATAAAATCGCCAGCTATATAGTGCACTGCTCCGACCTCCTCATAGTAAAATAATCGTATATGTATATATATATGTGTGTATATATGTATGATCTCTTAAAGTATTCAAAACTTTTTTTATGCCAATTATATTTAAGCCAATTGTGTATTTTGTCTGTTTGTTTGTTTTTTGTACATGATGTGCTGCTCTTCTTCTTGAGTCATCCGTTTTGTTCAAGTTTCATAAATTTAATTTTATTAGTTTTAAAGCTTAGGTTTAATTCAATTTGTTTACGTTTGCATTAACTACATTCAATTTGTTTAAATAGCACAATTAACACCTGTATTGAAATATTTTTCACCATCAAGTTTTCTGTTTTATTTTTTTTTTCAGTATATATATTTTTATATTTTTTTTGGTTACATTTTCAGCAAGTGATCGCTGTTCAACATTTATGTTTTTCTTTTTTGTTCATTTAAGAGGCACTGTTTTTAAGGCAACACACTACAGAGTGAAGTTTCATTTACCAGGATTTTATTTACATTTAACCGAAAATTGTAAAACAACCAAATCTAGGGGAAATTTGGAAAAGTTCATTGCAAATTATAAGATAAAATCATTTTTTTTCCGGGTTAACATAAAAGAGGTACACATATTTAATTGTAACACTACATTCAACACTCACTGTACTTGGTAAATTAATTGTAAGTACTTTTGAGTACTTTCAAGTACTGCTATTAGTACTTTCGAGTACTTTTAAGTATGTTTCGACCATTGTTTACGAACAAGGGAGTTGCTATCCAAGCTTTTGTATTTCTTACTAGGGTAGGGAAACTTTTTGAAATTATTTATGATCAATTTGTCGGAATTCGCTTTTGAATGTTTATTAAATTTAGACTGAAGACAACTTCATCAAGATATTTCAAAAATGTCATCTAAAGAACTCGGACAAATTGGTTTCTCCCGCCTATTAAGGGGATGCTGCAAATGTTGAATACCCTTGCAGTTAATAAATTACCTTAATTATCATCTTCTCGGTATATTGCTAGAAAATATGTAGCCTCTGGCTACTTTATCTTATATATATACACATATGTCTATATACCTATGTACACACACATAGATAGCTCAGTTTTATTTCGTATATATATATATATATGTAAAGCTTGTTTGTTCTTCATCTTTGGGAAACCTGTAAAGTGTAAATGTTTATTGTTTGTGTTCATTTGTTGTGCATTCGGATCGTTAATTTCGCGCTATATAAAGTATGCACAGCTGTTACAGTACACAGCATACAAATAGAAGTACTGTTAAATTATTTGCATATGGTTTTTAATTTTTTTTTTCACTTTTTTTCTCGCATTTTTTTTTGTTTGCTTTCGATTTTTACAATTGGCTGTATAAAGTGCAACAGGTCATATTGTGTTAGCGCAAATATTTACAGAGCGCGTTTACCTTTAAAGTGTGCATATTTATGCATTTATTTAAATAAAAACAAAAAAATGGGCAATTGACATGTACACAGCCACGCCCACACATTTACTGCTAGCTGTTTAAACAATAAGAAACAAAACAAAAACAAGAGGAGAGGAAAAACCAATAAACAGCAACTGAAATTGTTTATAATCATTTTATTTAAATTATATTTTGTGTTTTGAGTTGTTGTTGTTGTTGTTGTAGTTGTAGTTGTTGTAGTTGTTGTTGTTGATGTTTTACAAACTGCATTTGAAATTGTAATTCGTAAATGTAAAAATACAAAATGAAACTTAAGGCGCAACAATTTGAATAGAACGCTTCAAATCGAACAGAAAAATTCACGTTTAAGTTAATTACAAATTATGACTTCGTTTTGCTTAGAATTGAAAGAGAATATATAAAGTCTATCGAATAAGGGAGGAGACGCGTTGCTTAAACCGAAATTATTACAATTACAATCAATTAATTAAATCAAGTATTCTTTCAATTACTTGCGCACACGCTCCCACTAAGACTTAGAGCTACATTTAAATTAGAAATTATATTTTAAAACCTAAATTAAACTGAGTCGTTGCATTAAATAAAATATATATATATAAATATATATATTTAATCAATTGCATTTTGCCAAGCGTTGTGTGTGTGTGTAAAAAACTGGTTTAATCATAAACATAAATTGCACTTTAATTAGGAAACGAAATTATGGACAAAATACAAAATAAATGGTGTTGAGTACATTTTCACGTGTGTGTGTGTGTGTGTGTGGGAGTGTGTGTGTGTTTTCTTTACTTTCAGGCGGATTTTACAATTGCGTGCTTAGTTTGTAAAACTTGACCCTCTCATAGTTATATATATATATATATATTCCTTATATATCATATCAGATGACTTGCATGCATTACGTATCTTTTAATTTTAATTAATTTTTAATTCAATTTTGTTTTTGTAGTTTTAAAACTTATTGAACCAAAATGTGTGTGTGTGTATGTATATATTGTGGGCATATGTACAAACATAAACGCATGTTGTGTGTGTGTGTGTGTGTGTGTGTGTGTGAGTTGTTGTTGTTGTTGTTGACTTAAAGTTAACATTAAATTGAATTAAACTAAATCAGCTCAACACACGCTAACAACTAACCAAGTGCCTGCAAAACCTTCCTTTCTGCTGCTTCTTTAATTATTAATTTATATAATTTTTTATGGTTTAATTAACTAGCTACGGCTTGCGCACAAAACTTACACATAATTTCATTTTATTTTTATATATGGGCGTATGTGTGTTTCTGTATAGTTAATTTCAAATTATAACTATTTACACATATACATATATATATGTGTGTGTGTATATGTAACTATAAGTTAGACAATAATTGTAGATATGACACTGTCACTTGTTTTTTCGCTTAAAATTTAAAACCAATAACAAAACTTGTCGCTTCCAGCTGACTACTCAAAACTATTGCACGGCTCTGGAAACGATTAATGTGCTCTGCTGCTGTTGTCGCTACTGCGCCTGATGTTGCTCTGGGGCATAGCCGACGGCCAGCTGCTGATTGTAGCAGTCGTAGCCGCTGCCACGCCCATAGCTGGACACATTGAGAAATGTGCGTTCCTTGCGCGGCGGCGGCGGCATCATGACCAGATCATTGTCGCAGCTGCTGTTGTTATTGTTGCTGACTGGCTTCTTGTTGCTGTTGTGATGTTGCTGTTGTTGTTGCTGTTGTTGTGGCTGTAGCTTATAGTTGCTTGAAGCAGCGCCACGTGCCGGCTATGTGCCCCAGCCGCCAGATATTCTTGGCCTTTTGTGATTGGGCGCATCGTAGTCGCTTAACTGTTGCTGTTGTTGCTGCTGATGTTGCTGCTGCTGTTGTTGTTGTTGTTGTTGCTGCTGCTGCTGCTGCTGCTGTTGTTGTTGTTGCTGCTGTTGTTGCTGCTGTTGTTGCTGCTGCACAGCAACTGCTGCTAGGCGCACATCCTGCTCGCTGCTGGGCGCACCTGCGTTCAAGATAATAAAATCTGTTAAACTATTAGTTCGAGCTGCACAGACTGTAAATGTGTGTGGCACGGGCGGACAGCGGGCGGGCGGGCTTTTTAGGGCCAGACGCAATGGCATTCAACGCCTGGCAACTTGCGGTTAGCGTGTGTGTGTGTGTGTGTGAGCATGTGTGTGTGTGCGTGTTAAATGAGCGCAAATATTAGATTCCGTTCAACTAGCGGTTAGTGAAGAAATCAAAACAACAATTCAGGCTTTGGTTAGTTATTTGGGCATTTCAATTTTCAGTGTTGTAAAAGTAAAGAAATTTGCTAGAGTTGAGATTCGGTCGTTGGTGAAACGTATTGCAAAATCATAAAATGATAGACAGACTTTGCTGGCAGTATGTGTGTGTGAGCGTGTGTGTGTGCGTGTCAGAGCTGATAAACAATCGATAAAGAGCGTAAAATTATTAGGAAAATACATAATCGATTAATTAAGACATTAATCGATTAATTATTATCGATAGCTGACAAAAGTTGATTGATAGCCAATAAATTTGTGAATAATTTTACTATTGGACCTATGGACTTTGCTTAACATTTGCTGGGGAGGCATCGATTACTCTTATCGATTTTGGTTATCGAATGCCCATCAGCTCTCGATTTTACATGTGTGAGCAATGCATGTCAAACGGTTTGAATATATGTGTGTGTGTGTGTATGTGCGTGTGTGTTTGAATGTTTATATCGTTTTCTTATGCATTTTGTTTGTGTGTTTTGGCCAATTTACCGGCAAAATTCCATCTAGGATTATGTCCCATAAGCGCGCGGTACTGATATCCTTCATACTTATCATGCCCTAAAAATTGTCATATAGTTGTTGTTGTTAATTGTTGGTTAATCAAAACGAACAAGAAATTTGGTGGCAGCAGCAAGAGAGTACAGAGAAATCGATCAATAGTTCGGCTGCAATGCCGGCTCATGCGGCGTATGCGTAACATTGCGCATTCGCCGCTTGAGCCAGGCACAAGATTTACATTTTTTTTAAATTTTTTTTTAGATAGCATTAAAAGACATGCCGCAAAAAAACACAATTCACAAAAAGATTGGCTCTAAATTAGTAGAAATATAAATTTTGTTTTTTTCTTTTAATTTGCAAGCGAAACTTCGCTGCGGAAAAAAGCTGACAGAGAGAAAGTTTGGTAATAGTTGAATTTGGACATACCTGGAGTCGGTGTTATGTGGCCGGTGGACGAGGGCCGCGAATTGGGCATGACCAGATGCTGTTGCGAATGACTTAGAACGCTCAGATTTGTGGCCTGATCGGCGCTGCCGTTTGTCCCACCACCCACGCCGCCGCCGCCGCTGGCTGTCAAGACGCCGGCGCCGCCCAGCTGTGTGATGGCATTGATGGCGGTCAGGACGCCGCCCGTTGTTGAGACATTGCTGCTGTTGCTGCTGCTGCTTGAACCGCTGCCCGTCGAGACGTTGCTATTATGCTGATGGCCGCCACCGCCGCCGCTGCCACCGCTGCCACCGCCGCCGCCGCCGCCGCCGCCGCTGGCGGAGAGATCACGTGGCGGCGATTGCGGCTCCGATTTGACCTTGATGGAGCCGGGTGAGGTGGCGGGCGGCGGTGTGCTATTCGAGACAGCCAGATGGGATAGACTGCAAGGCAGATTATGATGTTGGTCGCCGTTAAGTGTTTGCCTGCTGGGGCTGCTGCTGCTGCTATTCGCCGGGCTCGGGGCCTGGACTACCCACCTAGTGTGCTGCACGAGACCCTGATGCCACTGCGGCAGGCCCAATATGTCCGCGCTCATCGCACCCGATTGCGAAAAGTCCTGCGCCCCAAACGAGTAGCTCGCCAGCGGCGGCATCGGTGTCTGCAGCGTCACCACCGGCGTATTCAGCGACGTCTGGCTCTGGCGCTGCTGCAAATTTACCAAATATATCTCAGTTTTATTCATGAATATATCGATTTGGCCCCAGCACTATCTATTGCCACATAATTGTTCTCCTTAACTTTATAGTGTTGTAAACGAAAAGCACGCTTTTATAAAAACAAATTATATGATATTGTTCAGTGTTGTATAACGACTGCATCCTAAAGAAATGTCTCAAAGGGAATTTTTCAGAGTATAACGACTTCATTCTTAAGGTTGATCTCATATTTCATAGCGTTACAAAACGTAAGCATTCTATTTAAAAATTGTGCTGCTAAACGAAAGCATTCTATAGTAGAGTTCCAATGTAATATGCTTTAATTTTGTATAGTGTTGTAAAGTGTTGCATAGCAAGAAAAGTAAACTTCGAGCCTGTCAAGTTGCGACAAATACCCAAACTTGGGAATACCTCTATAAAATATCTTCTCGAATGCCCAAACGAACTCTTCACCTTCTTAAATATTTCTTACGATATGTAGACAACGCTTAAATAGGTGAACTTACATCTGCATAGGCGACATCGTCCGTGGTCGCCGACATATTCGGCGCTATGGTGGGCGGTATGACGACACGCAAATTGGAAGCTCTTCCATTCTGGCTGCCCGGCGATTGTTGCTTAATGGGCAAATGATGCGCTGCAAAAATGGGATTTTAATTGTTTAGTACGTTTCGTAGGAGTTGGCCCTGGCTGGTATTGAATCCGTCTATGATTATGTGTCGATTAGGGAGTAGAGGGGCGTGTAACACAGTTAAATCAGACTGGACTAAAACTCAGCTAATTGGATGGGTTATGTGAGAGTGTGTCTATGAGTGTGTGTGAGTGTGTTTGAGTGTGTGTGTGTGTGTGTGTGTGTGTTTGGGACCCTTGATTGTAATATGAATATTGTCATTATGCCCACCTATGCCAGGACTGGGACCTGGACTGGGTGATCCCACAAGCGGCGAATGTGAATGTGGATAACCGTTTGACATCTCCAACATGGTACCCGATGGATAGACTAATGTATGAAATATATAAGAATATATGCAAAGGTTTTAATCAGTTTATCTCCAAAAAAAAAAAAAACAAAAAAACAATAACAAAACACTTTGAAATCAACAACAAAAACAACAAATTGCAGGCAATGTTAGAGATTAGATAAAGTAAGAAATTCTCAAATAGTCGAGACTGTATTGTTAAGTCGAAATTAGCTGCCTAAACGACGAGTTGTGCATGCAATAAGTAACGAGTTTAAAGGTTAATTAAATGGTTAAACTGCTCTTCGAAACGAGGGAAGGGGGGGTCTGGTGTAAGAGAAACAAAATACAAGTCACAAAACAGAAACAAAATAATAAGTATTAGCGAGTAGCGATTAACGAGTAACGGGTAACGAGTAACGAGTTGCGATTAACGAGTAACGAGTAGCGAGTAGCGTTTAACGAGTAACGAGTAACTCGTTAACTCAAAACGTGAAACAGCAACAGAAATAGAAATAAATGAAAATTGTGCACCCGAGACACTGTACTAACTTATTAAGGACATCCCACCTGAATCCGTCTCCGAACTCGATGGACGTGGGCTGATGTTTGTGTGGGACATTTGTGGGCTGGCCTGCAGCAGATTCTCACCGTAGGAGCCCGGCACTGGCACCGATACTGGCATCGTATAGCTTGTATTTGGCATGGCTCGATTCGGTGCACCTCCACCGCCGCCGCCACCTCCGCCGCCGCCGCCGCCGCCGCCACCGCCGCCCCCCGTAACACTGCCAATAGCCATTTGGTTGCGCTGCATCATATTCTGAAATTCCTCGTCGATCTTATTGTATTTGGCTTCGGTGCGCGGGGTGAGCGTATAGTCGGCCTCCGCTTCGGGTGAATCCGGTGACATGACGCCGTTTTTGTTCTCCTTCTGCAAATGACAACCAGAGAAAGAGAAAGAGAGTCAGTTTGTGTAAGAGAAATTGTGTATGATGTGTGCAGGGGCGTGGCGAAGGGGGGGTGACAAGTACTCGTAATTGGCCGTGCCTGGGCTGGGGCTGGGGCGAGGGGCGATGGCGGCGTGCGCACTTGGCACTTGACACGTCGCCGCTCTGTTGATGTGCTAAATTATGTAAATCTTGTCTACGCTGAAATGCTCTGCACGGCATTAACATTACAAAACAATTTAAAAGGCAGCAAACAAAAGACAGCAACAACAACAGCAACAACAACAACAGCAACAACAAGAACAGCGACAATGTCCGCATTAGAAATGCAAAATACATTGGCGTCTCCTTCAACCCCGCCCCCGCCCGCGCCCGCGCCACCGTCACCATCCGCTTCCGCTTGGCCCTTTGCCTTATAATTTCTTTGTTGTTAGGGCCCAAACGAAACGTTTTGTTGCTCAGTTGCATAGCTATTGTTGTTGTTTGTTGTTGTTTTAATTGTTGTAGTCGTTGTTGTTGTTGTTTTGTTTATTGCTTTGTTTGTATTTTCCGCGTGGCTGCTGCGCTTTTCACAGCTCACTTGACATTTAATAATTTTATGCAAGCGCCGCGCGATAAATATCGATAACGATAACCTACGAGTGCGCTTATAGCGAGTAAATACTGAAGAGTAGCCCGCTACGAGTAGCGAGTTAAGGCTGACGAGTAGCGAGTGATGAGTATTGAATAGTTAGTAGCGAGGAGCGAGTAAAGAGTATCAATAGCGAGTAAAGACTGACGAGTAGCGAATAACGATTATCGAACAGCAAGTACCGAGTAACGCGAAACGAGTAGCGAGTAACGAGTATCAATAGCGAGTAGAGACTGACGAGTAGCGAGTATCAATAGCGAGTAAAGACTGACGAGTAGCGAGTAACAATTATCGAACAGCAAGTACCGAGTAACGCGAAACGAGTAGCGAGTAACGAGTGTCAATAGCGAGTAGAGACTGACGAGTAGCGAGTATCAATAGCGAGTTGAGACTGACGCGTAGCGAGTAGCGCGTAACGAGTATCCATAGCGAGTAGAGACTGACGAGTAGCCAGTAACGAGTAGCGAGTAACTAGTATCGAATAGTAAGTAGCGAGTGTCGAGTAACTCACCTCAATGATATTCTTGTTGGTCAGCGACTCGTGCGGCTCATTGTATTCGGTGTATTTGAGCAGCACACGATCCATATCGGTGCTGGCATACTGATAGAGCTTATTGCTGGACGAGAAGATGATCAGCGCTATTTCGCAGTCGCACAGCACGGACAGCTCGTAGGCCTTCTTCATGACGCCGAACTTGCGCTTGTTGAAGGTCACCTGCGGAGAAAAGACACAGCGAGCGAGATGGAGAAAGAGAGAGAGGATTGGTTAGTAAAAATAAAAATATAAGTTAACAAAATTGTTCGGAATTGGCTGTTCAAATATTTATGCCAAATGTAATTAGAGGCTAGCTTTACAGTCTACCACGAACTGCGATTGGTAATGAATCGATTATGGCCAAGTCAAGGCCAGAGGGGCAAGCTGTTCTTGTTGTTGGCTATCGAGGCAGCCAGTTATGACGCGTTTACGACTTGGTTAGGCATTAACCTTTACGATGCCACAAATGTCCTTTGCACGGACGAGTGCCAGCCGCCCGGTCACGCACATCATGGGCGAGTGGTTCATTTGAATCAAAGCAACAGGGCTACCAGGCAGCCAACAGGCAGTTAATGTGACTGTTCGATATAAACTTGTTCATAAAATGAGCTTGATCTGGTTCTAATTAAGTTAAAAGCTGCATAAAATAGGTGCTAAATGCTTTCAACAAGTTCATAGAACTGTTTAGAAATAGGTAAAGGAACATGTCAAGTGTGGAACTGATTAAGAAATGATCAAAAGAGCTAAGAAAGTTTCCTATTGGAACTAGTTAAAGCGAGATGAATAAGTTAATCTGCTTAAGCTCAAAACTAAGCTACAAAATATTGTTACAGAGTTTATGTAAGGAACTGTAGCGCGTCAAATGCTCAGAACTAGTTCATAGAACAGTTATGAAACAGTTTAGGGAATATATTAAGCTTTAGACTAACTTTGAAATGAGCAAAAGAGCTGAGTAAGTTTCTGATTGGAACTAGTTAAAGCGAGACAAATAAGTTCACCTGATTAAGGAACTGTAGCGCGTCAAATTTTTTGAACTAGTTCATAGAGCAATTAAGAAGCAGTTAAAGGCGCATATCAAGTCTGGAATTGACTTTTCAAATGAGACAGCTGAGAAAGTTTCCGATTGCAGCTAGTTAAAGCTGAGCTTTAATTACTTTAATATTAAGTATACGCAGCGTTTGACTCACCTGTCGATTGCGTTCATCGGTGATGCGTGATATCTGAATTTTTTTGCGACCCATGGCAACAGATTTCGATTTGATACGCCCAAATGCTGTTGACAATAATAATATTTCCTTTTTGCTGTTGCTGTTGTTGTTTAACTTCCTGTTGCCGCTGCTGTTGTTGTTGTTGTTGCTGTTGTTGTTGTTGTTGTTGGCTTAAATGTAAGGCAGCAGTTGCCTTACTCCTTGTTGTTGCTCTGGCAAACGTTGGGCATATTTGATATACATATAACGCGCTCTCTCTATATATATATAGTTGGCTCTGTATATAACTGCTGGACGGCTTCTCGAAACGGCAAAATGTTTGTTTTGTTTGTTTGTTTGTTTTTATTTATTTATTTATTGTTTGCTCTTGTGATTGTTTTGTTGTATGTTAAATAAATATATATTTGTTGCAGTATAAAGTGTATTCTCAGGTATCTGCAAAGAGAGAAAGAAGAGGCAAATTAATATGCATATATAAACAGGTGAACAGGTGAACATCAACTATGGCGGCCAGCGAGTAGCCAGCATTGAGCCTAACTCGGATTTAACCCACTTGGTCGCTGACTTCAAAAGGTTCGCCTGGTCGAGCAGACAGGCGGGCGCACAACTTGTTGACGCTTCATTGGCCACGTGCCGAAAGTTCAATGCACCGCCGCCGAGACCAATATTTGGGTCCAGCCCGCTGACCCATTTTATGGGCGTGTTCGGGTGTGTGAGTGTGTGTGTCCCTATTAGGCAGATTACTTGAATTAATTTATCGGCTGCTGCTGCTGCTGCTGCTGCGTTCTGGCGGCAAGCTCATTGACCATTGCATATCCTTTATTAGGTTTTTTTTTCTATTACTTTTTTTTTTTAACTTGGCGTTAGCCTTCGGCCTTTATTATACGTGGCTCGCTGGACAAACTCTCACGCGTGATTAGCCTGCGCACGCTTTGATGTCCTTCAGGTGTCACACACACACACACTTACATAAAGACACACACACACACACTCATAGACACACGCAATCAGTAGGCTGTCCACGCAACACACGTTCTTTAACTTATTTATTTATCAAAGGACGACAAAGCTAGGAACTAAAGTGAAAATTGAAAACTTTTTGATTTTCTTTTAAGAGCAGAAATAAAAAAAGTAAACAATCAAAAGCTTTACGCTTTGTAAAGTAATATAATATAGTACAAAATTATTTATTTTTTATAATGCTTTAAAATTTGCCAACTATTCGCATAAGAAACATCATGAAAATTGTGTTGCCTGCAGATAAGGATAAGATCTGAGATTCTCTTGAGATAAAACTCGATCATATTAAAGGCTTTCATTCATTTTAACATTATTTAAAAACTTACTAACAGTTGTTACTAACATGTGAATTGTCTGCTGTTGAGCTGTTAATTACATATGCTGAAACTGTTAAAGTTAAAGCAAAGCGCTAGCTGTTATTAACATGAGATAAACTATCATACTCTACTGTTAAGCAGATGACATGCTCTTAACATCATTGGTTCGTTCTGTTTTGCACCGTTATGTTAACTGCGCACGCTTACATTGCTATGATCTATTTTACTCCACTGTTAAGCAGATGGCAATGTCCCAACATCATTTGCTCGTACTGTTATGTTAGCTGTGCACTCTTACAAACATTACCATAAACTGTCATACTCTACTGTTAAGCAAATAACATGCTGTTACTAGCAGTTGTTCATTCTGTTCTGCACTATTATGTTAAAAGTCTACTTTAACGAACATTTCCATGATCTGTTAAAGTTCGTATAGTAATAAAAAATTTAAAGCTGTCTGTCTATTAACATTGCCACGCTGTTGCCAAATGGCGTGCTGTTCTCTGCAATTGACAGTTGTTATTTTTAAGCACATAGTTTATTTTTGGCACACACTCCTTAATATACCCATTTTTTGTGGCACTCAACTACAGGATATAAAATACAAGAGACGCCTGCGGCTACTGGCAAGGCACGTGTCACAAAACGCGAGCAACATCTCAAGAGCAGTCTCCAGTAGTCGATACACGGCAATGTGTGTGCGTGTGCGAGTGTGTGTGTGCGTGTGTGTGTGTGTTTTTTTGTGCGTCTGGCTGTGTAAACATGGCAATTCTTGTTGCTCGCCACGCTGGAGCTGGCACGGCGGGAAAGCGCAAATTTCCGAGTGCGAGTGCCGGAAATCGAGGCAGATGAATTTCAATTGCTCCGCTTCGTCCCGGCTGTCGTTTGTCCTTTTGTCGCCAGCTTGCTTGGCTTGTTTGTCCTCCGGCCAGGAGAAAGCGGCTGCCAAGGCAACGTTTGCTTAGAAATGAGCAAGCCTCACGCAGCAACAACAACAACAAGAACAACAAGAACAACAATAACGACAACGACGACCTACGCAATATGTTTCAGCTTTCAACCCTGGCCAGCCAGCTGGGGTGAAAAATTTTGTTATTGTGGGCTTGGGCCCGGGCTTTTGGGGCATGAAAGTGAACTCCACGTGCGGCAACCTTGACGTACAACCAAATAGGGGCACAGGACTACTACTACCCGAAAAAAACGAAAAAAATAAAAAACCCCAATACGACAATGATTATGTGGAACGTGCGTGCGTTTTGTATATTTCATTATTGAACCAAGAGATATACCAAAAGTTTGGAAGACGAACGAGTTTTTGTGTGCCAATGAATCGATACTCTGTTGATAATGTGCAGATGACGCGACGATCTGAGCTGATAAATGCAATACATATACCATATACATATATATAGTATAATATACTGAGTACAATAGAAGCTGACCACTTAGTTGCGAATAAAAGCTTCGACTTAGTCATTGTAGCTGTTGGGCAGCGGGTTCTACGACTATTAGTCAGATAGAGTCGCTTTTTGCAAATGCATATTACGCATACGCAACGTTGCACACAGTGCCAGACAATTGTGGACGCCCACGTGAGCGTGGGCATAGAAACTTGTTTACTGGCAAATATTTCCAGCTAACTGAAAGCAATTAAAAAACATAATTAGTGTGGCATAGGACAGGTGAAAACATAAAAGTTGAAAACGAGACGTGGGCAAATTTAAGGTAAAAGTTTCTTTAAAACTAAATCGTAGATTTGAGTAAAGAGAACTATTTGAGAAGGCATTAATATATATATAAATACATATGCATAATGCCTATAAGCAAATCGAATAAGTATTTGATAAGGCATATACTTATGGTGTCTACTGTAATCTTTAGAGTTTGACACGTGCCAACAGAAAGAGGATACAAGAGAATGAGAAAAAGACTAACATATTTATAGATTAACTAACTTAAACTTAGTTTTAAAAAGAGAACTATATTTTGCCTAATCAAAGAGAAAACTCTCTAAGCCCAATCAATAAAAATATATTTAGTTGACAAACAAAAAGTTTTCTTTCCAATTAAAAACTGTAGAAAATTGAACGCATAATCCGTTTTTGGGGCCAACGACAAATATTTACACTAATCAGGCAAACTCTATGAACTCAAATATTGATGTGCTGTGCTTAATGCTGATCTCTTGTGGGCATAAACAAAGGCGGCATTGATATGGGTACCTTTATAAGGCATTAACCGCTGAGCTATGGTCAGACGCAAAGAGCGTCAAATGTTACTCAGTTCATATTTTTAGTGAAAGGGCGTACGATAAACAAAGAAAAAAAAAAAATAAAACACAAATAAAAATGAAACTAAACGCAATAAATCGAAGCTCAACCTCCGAGCGCGATAAGGACCCGCATCGAAGCCCCAAGCAGCAGCAGCAGCAGCAACAACAACCACAGCAACAACAAGAGCAACAACCACAGCAACAACAACAACAACAACAACAACAACAAGAGCAACAACGGAGAGAAATGCGTCACATAAAAGCACAAAAACATGAATAATTGAAGCTGCTTAGCGGTTGGACAGGCCAGCGTGTGCCAAGGCAGGGAGGAAGGGCGGCAGGGTCGAGGGGCGGGCATTTGGGGGGCAGCTAGCAATTAAAGCATTCAACCAACACGCGTGTGTCTAGTTGTGTGTGTGTGTGTGTGTGTGTGTGTGAAATAAGCAGCTTATTAAATGCATTAATTAAAATGTGCGATTCGAATCGAATTTCCATGTAAATATTTGAAATTTAATAAACAAAGCGAATGCAACACGAGCTCAACACACGGATACAACATCAAAGATACTAATACAGACAGAGACACACACGCGCGCGCACACACACACACGCGCGCTCAGCTCATCATGCGCTTGAATTACAAATTTATAGCATACTTTTGCGCGTCAGTTGGGAATGTGAATGTATCGAATAGATCCTTAATTTGCAATTATTGATTTTATTTGCTGATTTGCAAATGTGAATTATATTTCTATTATATTTGTATTTGCATTTAATTTGATAACAAAAATATATATATAGGAATGCAATTTATTTAAAATATGCAAATTTAGCAAATATAACAGAAATTCGAATTGGAAAATTGGCGAATTCATGGAACTAAAGACAAGCTGTTTAATAAATAAAATATTTAAAGAAATATATAAATGAAAAACAAGAAATCGGAACCTAGAGCACTAGAGCATATCATTTAAATTTTTGTTATCTAAGAAATAAAAAACTCACGCTCTTGACGCTAACAAGTTAAATAAGATAGTTCTCTTAGATTACATATTTATCATTAAAATTAATAATTGCATTATTACTACTACTTATTATGATTATTATTATTATTGCGATAAAAAAAATAAGAATCTACCTTTCGACCAATCGTTCCTATGGCCGCTATATGATATAGTAGTCCGATCCAGCTGAGAGACAAGTTCGCACACAGACAGACGGAGGGACAGAAGGAGGGGCGGACGGACGAGCGGGTGGATAGACGAACATGACTATATCTAGTCGGCTGAAATTATGCTTATCAGGAATTTATATATACTTTATGGGGTTTGCATATGTCTCCATTTATGCGTTCAACATTTCATGACACAATTATAATACCCTCTATAAGGGTATAATAGGGTATAGTTGATTATTTATTTAATATATTTCTCGCCTAAAATATGCCAACTCTTAGCTACTTCAAGTATTTAGTTCCATTGTTTAAGCAATATATTTTGCTATAGTTTTTTTTTTGCTATTCGATTTTATTTATTTGTCTTTGGCTTTGGCGCAGCTGCTGCTGCTGCTTCTTATCAATGCGGTGGCCTTATCAAAATCTGCATTTGCTGCGGCTGCTGCTGCCGCTTGCCACTTAGCTGCTGGCCAAGCGATTAGATTGCCAAAAGAAAAAAAAGTGCTCAAGAGGCGGAAAAAACGAGAAAGAAAAAAACTAGGCAGCAATAAATCAAAATAGCACGTCACAGGAATGCGCTTGTGTGTGTGTAGGTGTATAGGTGTATAGGGTGTGTGTGTGTGGGTTTGTTTTGTTAACCAAAAAACTAACA